TACGCTACCCGGCCCTGGCCCCAACCCCGGTTCGAGTCTACTGTGGGATCTCCAGTCCCAGGACCCGTTTTAGCAGGGAATCTCTGTCCCCGTTCGAACCAGATGAGCCGGATTCCCCATCTTTGGTATGGTGTGGCTCGTGATTCCAATCTTTTGGTGAATTTGGAATACTTTTGAGTTGTGGATAGAAAGTGGGATAACTAAATGCCATACCACTTTGTAAATGGAATATGTTCACATTTGTGTACATCTTATCTTACTACACATTCATTACTGATTCAAAAAAGTCTCTTCTATTTTCGAATAAAATATAATTTAATTTAATTCAATTTATGACCACTTTCTTCCTCTTATGAGGACCACATACCCAAAAGTATTGACTTTGTGGGAAATAAATCATACAATTAGTTATTTATGGTATGCAATTATTGTGGGATGGAATAAAAACCAAGAACAAAAGAAAAATAGGGTAAGAGCATTGTACAAGTCTATTGCGTAAGGTACAACTCTATTGCATAGCATTCAATCTAAAGAGCTTTTAGCCAAGGCTTGATATGGCCATTGGTACCAAATGAGATTGATATGATTTTAGATTGGTAATTTATATGATATATGGATGAATAATAATCTATGTATAAAGGGGTATTTTTGTCATTTCCAATTAACTTAAGCTTCGATATTTGTAATGATGATATTAACTTAAAGTTGAAGCTGATATATCTGTCAGTGATTTAAAACATATATTTCAGTGAATATGACTAGTTCTGTACCCGTGCAATGCGGCGGAGAGTCGTGAATTTTAACGATTTTGAAGTTTCACTGGTTTTATTAGAGAAGATTTAACGATGATATAAATTACACTTGGTCTTTACATATTAATATAGTTTGAATAAATAAGAGTTATGGTTCCAATTACAGTTTATCGATGAAAAAAATTGTATGACAGTTTAAAATCCAACATATTTAAACGATTCCACAAATGTGTTCGGTTTACACCAAGAGCAAAGAACCAAGAGAGTGAGACTGAGAGTTCTAGAACAATTAAATGAGAGAACTTTTAATAACCCATGGTGAATATCAATTTGAATATCACCTTGGGAGATGGGGAGAAGACATAGAGGTATGAGAAGGTGAAGACATGAGTGAAATGTATCTTTGAAACATGAAGAAAAAAAAAGTAATAATGTGCATTGGTAACTTGTACTATATGTTATTATAATTGTAGATTAAGAGATTTTAAAACTTAATACATAAAGTAGTAGTACTTAATGCGTTATAAGTTGCTTTTAAGACTTTGTGCATAAATGTATAGTACTTTATGCATTAAAAATTGTTTTTAAGACTTTTGAAAAATCTGGTTTATAAGATAGTATAGATTACAAAAACTTAAAGAAACAGAATGGACAAATTCGATTCCGTTGGGATGTCTCAAGGAAAAACAAGTTGTCTTCCATCTGATGTTGTTATAATAGATTGTCGACCAATAATTATTCTTGTTTGTTTATTGTAATCTTCCACTCTTGTCGTGTGTCAGCTTGGCTCGAGAGGGTCAATATCGAATACGATATGTTTATTCATGGTGTCGTTTTCATTATCTTCCTGAAACCAAAAAATTTCAAGGATATTGGTCACCTACAGGTTGCATTTTTTTGTTGTTGGAGATGAGCTGTAAATCCGTTATTCAGAAATGAGTTTGTTGCACATCAATTGGGCTTTGATAACCTATATAGGGTTGGGTTCACGTGAGACTAAAAGTTTTTCGTGAGATCCGTAATACCAATTTATGTTCATTGATCAACTTTATAAGCTAATGATCTAATAGTCTAAAGTTGCATGGTGGCAATTTTGTGATTATTGAGAAGTCTCGTGTGAATTTTGTGATTATGAATGTTTAGATTGTAGATTTAATCTAAGAAATGAGAATTGGTCTTACCGGTCTCACGAAAAACCATTGGTCTCACATGATCTCAAGTCTCTCCCTCTCTCTCTCTCTCTATCTCTCTGCATAGCCATATGTTCATTTGAGAAGTGGTAAGTATTAGTGGACAAATGATCATAGCCTTCACATGGTCAAGATTTGCGGCTTTGATTGTAAAACACCGGATAATTTTTGGCATGACATGCAGAAAATAGAAGGGTGGTTTCGTTACTTTTATAATAGACGACAAAATAACTGCATATATGAACCTGTATGATTCACATATGAATTATAGGTTCACACATACACTTATGGGTTCACATTGCACTTACGCTTCTTAAACAGTTCTCCGTTTTATTGTCAAATAATAACACGTAATATGTAATGTGTTTTTATTTAGAGCCACAAAAATTGCGTGTTTGATAGATAAAATTCCTCAAAACGCATGAACGGTGCACAAAGCATGACAAAAGAAAGCAAGGTGGGAATAAGATTCGATACTCCCTCTTTTTCTATCCACATCCATTTTGTAATTTTAACGTGTTATTTTTTTTCATAAAAATTAAATATAATTTATACTGTATCATAAATATAAATTTAAAGATATCATAAAATTTTAAAAATAAATATAACAAAATTAATATCAAATTAACTATTTAAAAGTTTTTTTATTGTATAATTTATTTAATCCATTTTTTTATAATTTAATTTAGATTTAATAACGCAGTAAACGGGATAATTTGAAAAAATTAAATCATGTCAGGAACTTATTTTACAGATATAAATGATCATTGAAAGTACGATGCTACTTCAGACTTGTACTCTTGAAATAACTCTGAATTATAACTCTGATGAATGACTCTGAAAATGACTCTTCAGATTTGAATTTAGAAATAAAACTATATCAATAATTAATTAAAATGAAGTTAACCATATAATAAAATTAAATGTGTTATTTTGAACAAATATAGACATATTTTTGGCAAAAAAACAAACCCTTTTATAGCCGGCATGTTAACCAGCAAAACTTGTTTTACAGAACTCTTTGACAATATCAGCAAGTGATAGCTGAAAGTTGTCATGATAAGTTGAATGTTGCCTCTTCAGTGATAGCTCAAAGCTGTCACGATAAGCTGAAGGCTGTCAGCAATAACCTGTCAGATTAGCTGAAGGTTGTCAGTGATAGGCTGAAAGCTGTCACGATAAGCTGAAAACACAAGCTGAAGACTGTCAGCAATAAGCTGCCAAATTAGCTGAAGGCTGTCATATTAGCTAAAGGGAATTAGTTTGAACTAAATCTCGTTTAGTAGGAAAATCAGTTAAACCACGATAAAAAAAGATACATTTTTAGAGGGACATATGTCAACCAAATATGTCTCTTTGAATCACTAATGTAAATTATATCTAGATACATGTTTTAGCGAGAAAATAAGATAATCGACTCACTAGAAGATGACACGTGTCACCCAAGTTACTTATTTATTAGGTGTATAGATTTGATAATAATTAAATATTCTATTAGAACTCAATGATTATCTTAATTATATTTTAGATTTTTTATATTTAAAATAAAATATTTATCTTGTATTTGATTATGTTTATCTGCAGTTAATTACATCAATCATTAATGTTGTACTTACATAGTAATCTTGAACTTTAAATAATATACATCAATAAACAATACTCCATACATAAAAAATGTTTTATAATATAGAAGAGTACTCACGCAATGCAACGAGATAAATCTTCATTATAATATTTAGTTTTTATTCTTTGTCTCTATCGATATAATACGATTTTATGTTGTTTTGAGAAAACGATAATGTTTATTTTTTAATGAAATATAAATTTGAAAATAACATAAAAATTAAAAAATAATAATTTCGATATTAGTATCAAATTAACTATTTAATAGTTCTCATTTTTTGATGTAACTTCTTTAATTCAATTTTTTTATTACAATTTAGTTTAGATTTAATAACAAAGTAATTTATTTTGGTTTAATAATATAATTTTTATAAAGATAATAATTAAACATTCTGTTAGAACTTAGTGATTATCTTAATTATATTTTAGATTTTCTATATTTAAAATGGATGTTTATCATGTATTTGGTTATGTTTATCTGTAATTAGTCACATGAATTTAAAAATAAAGCTTCAATAATGTATACTTACGCAAAATTACTTGTAATCTGAATTTTAATCAATATACATAAAAAAATGAGTTTTTAAGATTTTTTGTCAAATATTTTATAATATAGTCTAAATATAGATATATACAAATATTTAATTTTGACGTCAATTATTTCTTATTTTCTTTTAAACTTTAGAGTAAAATACAAATTTGGTCCCTTTAGTTCGTCAGAAAAATAACACTTATTGAAACTGATATTCACTATAAGTTATTAAAAATTCTCTCATTCATCTCCCATTCAATTACTCTAGAACCCTCGGTCTCACTCTCGATCTCTTGATTCTTTGCTCTTGCTGTAAATCGATCACATTTATGAAGTCGTTTAAATATGTTGGATTTTAAATATATTAGATTTTAAACTGTCATATAATTTTTTTCATCGATAGACTGTAATTGGAACCATAACTCTTATTTATTCAAATTGTATTAATATGTAAAGAACAAGTGGAACTTATATCATCGTTAAATCTTCTCAAATAAAACAAGTAAAATTTCAAAATGGTTAAAATTCACAGCTCCCGCCGCATTGCTTGGGTACACAACTAGTGATTTTATTAGTTGTGATTTTTGATTGAGTAAAAGATAAAAAAATCGATCAAAAAATGAAAATGTTTCTCATTTAACGGATTTTTTATAAAACAGGACCAAATCCTAATGTTTTTGCAAATCACAAACCACAAGGATAAAAAGTGTTATTTTTAACAAACACAAGGACCAAATTTATATATTCTTATTGTTGAAAATCTGAAACACTTTTCTACACGTAATTGACATCATATTCTCCAAGGGGTAAAATTGTAATTTCATTCCTTGATCCCTTGTTGGGCTCTCTCTCTCCAACCACCTGTATAAATAAAACCCTCCATCTCCCCTAATTTTGATAACCACACAAACCCTTGGTTTCTCCCTCGATATATAAATCAATTGAATTCCTTTCCTTCTCTAAAAATCCCAATTTCTAGGGTTTGAATTTCCAGATTTCCATCTGTTGCATTACATTTGCTTGATTTCAATCGCAACTAATCGGTATGTTTATCTATTCCTTTATTCAATTCTGCTTTTTATCATTGTATTTTTGTTGTTGATTATCGTGTTTCTTGTATTGATCGAGGGTTTTTATTTGATTTCAGGTGTAGATCGATCTCGAAGGGTTTTGAATCTCGGCTTTTCGTTTCCAAAATCTATTTTTAATTGTGAGTGTTGTTTTTATTTTGATAATTTGTTTGATTCATCGTTGTTTTGCCTTGTAATTGAACGATCTATTGTTGATGATTCATTGCGTTTTTCTCATCGTGATTTTGCTACTTTCAAAAGAAGGAAACAGCTTTAACGAAAATTTATCCGCGGCTATTTATTGTATAACGATGCTTAATTGTTTGTTCTTTGGCTTTTGTATTGATTCATGTTATGTCAAACTTTGAAAAATTTCCTATAAATATGAATATGCTTTCTGATGATTATATTGTGGATGTAAATCAAGTTCTTGATTCGGTTTTTATAATGTGTATTGAATGTTCTTGTTTCTTATGGAGGTAGAATATACGGTAATCGATATCTTAATGTACTATAGTATTCCTATGTTGTATTAATTCATCCAGTATCCAGTGACATTATATTGGTTCTTATTCATATGCGCTCTTGTGTTTCTTAGGACAATTGAATGTTCTAATGGAGTCAAAAGCCGGCAAGAAGTCTAGTAGTAGTAAATCCTTGTTTTACGAAGCTCCTCTCGGTTACGGAATTGAAGACGTTCGACCAAACGGTGGACTCAAGAAATTCAAATCTGCTGCTTACTCAAACGTGAGTTTCTCTTATATTAATCTTGAACGGTTTACGTACATTTTAATTTCATTATCACTTGCAATGTCTAACCATCGGTTCTTCTTTCTTTTTAATTTTGTAGTGTGCTCGGAAGCCATCCTGAGTTTCTCTGATCTGTGCTACATAACTCCTAGATAGCAGCTATTCAATTCAAACCTTTTTTCAGTCTTTTATTTGCATTTTCTTTTCTCGTACTCGTTTTTTCTCTCTTTGCAACAAAAAAACAACTTTAAAGAAAGATGGCGGTCGAAGTATCCGCCATTGGATTCGAAGGATATGAAAAGAGGCTTGAAATTACTTTTTCTGACCCTGGTCTCTTTGCTGACCCTGAAGGCAGAGGCCTCCGTTCCCTAACTAAGGACCAACTGGATGAAATTCTGGCACCGGCCGAATGCACCATTGTTTCTTCATTATCCAATGATTCATTGGATTCATACGTTCTTTCGGAGTCTAGCCTCTTTGTTTATCCATTTAAGATCATCATCAAGACCTGTGGCACCACAAAGCTGCTCCTTTCGATCCCACCGATACTAAAACTATCTTCCCAACTTTCCCTCACTGTGAAATCTGTGAGATACACTCGTGGAAGCTTCATATTTCCTGGAGCTCAGCCATTTCCGCACCGGAGCTTCACCGAAGAGGTTACAACCCTCAATGGTTACTTTGGGAGTCTTGGATCTGGCAGCAAAGCTTATGTCATGGGGGGTGCTGACAAGAATCAGAAATGGCACGTCTATTCTGCTTCTTCAGCCGAAACGGCTGATCACCCAGTTTACACTCTCGAGATGTGCATGACGGGTTTGGACAAGAAACATGCATCGGTGTTTTACAAGAACCAGTCGAGCTCTGCTTCCATGATGACGGAAGTTTCTGGTATCCGCAAGATTCTCCCAAATTCCCAAATCTGCGATTTTGAGTTTGACCCGTGTGGGTATTCGATGAATGCAATTGAATCTGATGCCATTTCCACCATCCATGTGACACCTGAAGACGGCTTCAGTTACGCTAGCTTTGAAGCGGTCGGTTACACCTTCAAATCCGCTGTTGATCTGACCCTTTTGGTCGAAAGGGTGTTGGCATGCTTCCAGCCAAACGAGTTTTCTGTATCGTTACATGGAAACGACCGGAGGAATCTTGATTTGGGAAGTGGCAATCTGAATGTTAAGGCATACTGTGTGACGGAAACAAGCTTTGAAGATCTTGGTGACGGTGGTGGTTCGATGATTTATTGTTTGTTCACGAGGGGAGGTAACAGCTGCGGGTCTCCGCGGTCGACCCTCCACGGGTGTTGGAGCGAGTACGAAGATGAAGAACTGGAGAAGAAATAAGGCTACCACTTGCAATTTGGTACTTAATAATGTTATTAGTTTTCTAGTGTGGTTATGTTCTTCAGGGCTTGGTGTTTTTTGCTCATTTACTGTTTGTTTTTTTTGGTTATTGTGTTCTATGGACCTACATTTGCACCATTAATAAAATCTGTGGGTATGTTTATAAATTGATGTGTATATCTTAATTTGTTGAGTTTATTATTTGTGGGATAATGGGCTTAAAAGTCTTTTTACATTTTTAGTTGTTAGAAATAATTCAAAATACGTTTGTTGAGCTTTGAACGTCTGATCTCGAGGAAAATGAGGTATTGTTTGCCGATGACCCTTTGGTTTGAGTCATGACGTTACCATAAACATGTATCCTCCTCCATCGACACACAAGGTGCTCTACGAAATAGTTGAGATACTCTCCTTGTTTGTGTGAGAATACGTGGAATTAAATTACTCTGAAGAAAAAGAGAGATTCTAACATATATAACTGTTGTAGGGTTTCAACGATCTCCCTCTTGAACATGCAAACGACTACCCACGATTTTCCCAATGTTGTAATCAAATCAAAATAACGATCCAAGATACGATTCAATCGTTTGAGCTCACAAGGATTGTTTTGAACTTGTATTTAAATTCGTTTTCAACACCAAAAATTTGTTAAAGCGGAAACCGGGACTTCCAACCGGTGTTTACCTAGTGCTTATTGGTATCAACTGATTTCAGATTAAGCACAACTATCTTCAGTTAACACTTGTTCAAAACGAACCTTTTACTCGGATTTCAGATTAAGCACGAAGACTTGTTCGTTCGTGAATTAGTAATCGAGACCATATAAGAAGATACCAAGTATAAGCTTCTCCTTTTATTTCTCATATTCAAAGTCTTCCTATTCAGACGCCCAAAAAACTTGTCGAAATTCATGGAAAATGAGTTTTAGAATGCTATATATAAATCCTACCTTCTCTTCCTAACATACATCAAACACGATCTCTTTCTATTCATCGCATTTCGATCACACAAATCTCGAGAAAAAGCCATGGATAACTCTCAAAATGCTGGTTATCAAGCTGGTCAGGTCAAGGGCCAAGCCGAGGTAACTAATCTTGACTATTTGCTCTATTTGAGATTTGAGAACCAACTATTTGTGAATTATTCATAATGAATATCCCTAATTGTTATTCATTGAATACCATACATTTTCATCATTCAAGATATTCATCGTGAATAATTCATGAATAGTTGGTTCTCAAAATATTTACGGTCCTCAAACAAACCCACTCTCTGGAGTCAGGTTCAAACGAGTACCAAATAAGAGAACACGATAACGACCCCAAATCACATGTGATTACGCATGACCTTGATAGCAACCTAGGTTTTGACCATGTTCCAAAACCATAGTGCAAAATTACATGTGATTTGACCGCTTCATGTTTTCTTGAACCGTTTTCTCGTTTGATCCTACCCCCTCTCTCTCTCTCTCTCTCTCTATATATATATGTATGTATATGTATATAACATTTGTTGTTATCAGGAGAAGAGCAGGCAGATGATGGATAAGGCTAGCGAAACTGCACAGTCTGCCCAGCATTCAGCACAGCAGGTCCCATTAATTTCACTTTTTAACCTTTGAATTCCATCAAGTCAAAAGTAATACTTTCCAAATTCAAGATTCAAAATTCGCATCGATTTTTTAGTTTTTTTAACAAAACAAATCTATAAATAACATTTGCTTAACATTGATTTTAGTACCCGTAAATCTTTTTTTCCGTAACCGAGACAAAAATCCTCGAATTCGGCGTTAGAAACTCGAGATGTTTGACTAAAGAAAAGTCAATGCAGGCTGGACAGCAGATGAAGGCAAGTGCACAAGGAGCAGCTGATGCAGCCAAAGATGCAACTGGCATGAACAAATGAACCTCTAGGGATCATTTCATCAACCATCATAGCAATCTCTTCAACTAAAACAACCTCCCTTTTTTTAATTTTACTATTATACCCCTAGACAAAACGAAGAAATCGATATCCCGATGTACTCGAGTTCTTACATTTGTTCTAATAAAATTTAAAAAGCAGTACCGAGGTGGTCGTTTGCCACCCCTTCTGCTATATCTCCTTTATACGTTGCTATCTCGTGCATATTTTGCTATGCGAACTAGACTGAATTGGATAGAACAACTTAACAGGATGAGATAGTAGGACTGAACTGGACTGGAAAGTTGTAGGGTTATAATTGATGGATAGTTTAGTAATTTACCAATCTTGTCTCATCTTTCAGATCTTTGTTCCACCTATTTTGGTTGGACATATTTCTTTTGTCTAACCCAGATATGTCTAATCCTAGCCTTAATTGTCACACAAAACATGAGATAACAAGTTTTTTATTTATCCTGTCATGTATTGTCTCACATACCAAACACACTCAGAGATTGTTTGTTAACAACATAATGAGCTTAACAGAACTACAACTTATTCGATATAAATGACCGTTTGGTAGTTACTTAATGATATAGAAAGTGACTTGTTCAGTAAACTTACAAATGAGCTTTATGGGCCCGTTCAAGGAAGAACTGATTAGTTTGTGGCAATCGTGAAATCCAATCTGAACCACTCGTTTGAGTTTTTTAAGGATATTTCTTAAATAAGCTAAAAGGGTAATATAGTAATTTTATTTTTGACAACTAATCAAAATATTAAATTAAATTTTTTAGAAGGAAATATTTAACTAAAATTAGTTACCTAGTATATCAATTACCTAATATACATCATATTCTAAAGATGTTTGTGAATCAAAGTGTATCATAGTGATAATGTTCACAATATTTCACGTGTATTATAATGTATTTTTTATTTGCATTTTCATTATTTTCATTGTTTTACAAAGGATATCACATTGTGCATCTTGTATGTATATCTGGGTATCACAGACCACAGTGAATATCGTTTGTAGGTATCATAATGTGTATCTTGTATTCACATAAGTTTCATCGGAATAAGGTTCGCTGAATAAGATTCACTGGAGAGAGGAAAAAGGAGAGATGAGAGAGTATATTTATAAAATCCCAAAAATACCCTTAATTAATATTGTAAGTTAAAAATACCAAAATTATTAATTTCATAATTTAAACTTTGATTTGTGGTTGAGATTGGATCTCAAAGTTAACACAAACAAAACAGTTCTCATTTGATTAGACCCCTATATATATGTGTGTGTGTGGACGTATTAATTCACGCAGACAACATAATTCATACAGAACTCAATAGTAAACCAAACAAACAGCCCCTCACAGATATACCCATCTCGTGGAATGACACATGGACTGAAAACAACATATCAATACGCAAACCACAACGAATGTGACCCAACATGTGTAAGATCTCTTCTATTTGTAAGCTTGATTTCGTAACGATCTTGATAAGGTTTGTGGGAATAGAGACAAGAAACAACAGGACAAAAAAAAAATTGGTAAAATGGTCGTTAGATTTTTACTGTTATTTCATTTCTTTATATCCCGATAACAGAAAAAAAAAGATTGATGAGTTACATGATTAAAATTTAACTTAAATATGATTCCATGAATCTTTTTTGCAGGGGCAGATGGCCATAGGGGCCTTGTCCCCTAGCCTTTTTTTTTATATAGAGTGAAGCATTTCCAGTCCATTAAGGTTTTAAGTATAAAATTCTTTTCGACCCCTCCACTATTACTGATCCAGTCCATTTATATTCCGTTTCTGCTTTTCTTGAACAAAATCATGGAATTTAAAGATTTTGGATCCAGACATGATTATTAGCAAATTAGATGATACCAATGGACCATTCAAAGAAAAGAAGACCAAAAGATGTTTCACTTTAAAAAAGAAAACAAAGACAAATGAGAAGCATGTGAAGTTGGGTGGTCTTTTTGTAAAGAAAAGTTGAAATTAGTATTTATATTAAATTAAACCGAAAATAACTGGTATAATTTATTTGAAAGCATTCCATTCGTATTGTCCTTCTGAAAATATAAAAGTTGTCTAAGGTTTAAAACTATCTTCAAGTTGTAACTGATTATATCCTGATTTTAAGTCAAATTTTGAGAATATTTTCTTCTTTTGTATAAGATTTATTAAAATTCGGTATAATTTATTTGAAAGCTGGGTCTGAAAGTAAGATGTATATAGAATTTTTTTTCCTTCTTTTAAGGTTGAAATTAGTTGTCAATTTGATTGTAGGTGTTTATATTATGAGAGCATTTCCGGTAGATTTTTTAGAAACTGAGAGAACGAAGATTATGAGTATTTTTTTTGTTTCAACAAATTTTTCAAAACTTTTCTTTAAAATGGGAAGGACAGATTGCATGAAAAAAGTAACGTATTTTAACTTGTTTTTTTTTTTTTTTTTGAAACGTACTTGTAAAACTTTCATTTTGGTACATAAGATGTAAAGTTTTAAACATTTAAGTACGCGGGTAACCGGTTGAAACATTAACCGGTTACCATGCTGATGTGACGAGTGATGTGGTATCCGGTTAATGCTTTAGTAAATATTACTGAGTTGGATACTACATCACTTGCCACATCAACATGGTAATCGGTTAATGCTTCAACCGGTTACCCGTGTACTTAAATGTTTAAAACGTTACATCTTAGGTAAAAAAAATGGAAGTTTTGAAAGTACGTTACTCAAAATATGAATCAAGTTAAAGTACGTCACTTTTTCATACAATTTGCCCAAATGGAAAGGTATTATAAGCGAGCGTGAATTCTTCAAGAAACTTAAGAGAAAAAAATAATATTTTTATTAAATGTAAAAAATATTTTTATAATATAATCAGTGTTATAATCTTCAAAATGGATAAGTTATTAGTGTTAAATTTTATTTTATTTTGGAGAATTTGATTTTTAATTTTCCGTTTTGGACAAATTGCCGAGAATATGTTAAGAGATGTCATGAGATATTAAAATGCAAGCTTTGAAAGTCGTTATACGATATTACGATGCTAAGTAACTGGAATGAACATACTCAACAGTAATAAAACATAATACATAAGATACTGGTTGAAATCAAATGGCCTCAAGCCTAGCGGTATGTAAGTCATTGGTCCTCTAAAGGTCAAAGGTTCAAACCTCAATAAAAAAAAATACTGATTGAATGTGTTTTCCATCTTTGAAGTTGTAATAATTATTTTGTGTTTGATTG